AGTAGGGATGAGAGCAAGGTGGCGAACACCACATGCTCGTGGCTCGTCCATTATAGACAAGCAGGCATATGCTTACACGGTTTTGGTATTTACTGCTGGTTCGGGTGAATCTTGCATTTTCAGCTTTGGATTTTCTCGTCGAGATCGGTTTGATTTCAGCAGTTGATACTCGGATATTGCCAGCTTGTCTTAACTCAAGTGTCATCTTGGACCCGTGTTTCAAAAAGGTGGAAGTAAAAGAATGAGCTCCAGCTATCTCAATTCAAGGTTTATATATATCCCACAGGACTCAAGGGCCATCTTGGTCTGCCAGACAACCAGCCTGGATTATCAAGCATATTCTTGCCCAGTTCGGGCCAGCTGAGTTCGACCAGTTTGTGGCCGGCTGGTGAAAGAATAAGTTCAACGGGCCGGCAAGCCGGGTCTCGGCTTGTCGGGCCAGCTCGATAACTCGGGGTCAGCTGGCAGAGCAGGATTGCTGGCTCTGCTTGACTCAGTTGTCAGCTCAGGCCTGTACTTGTCATTGAACGCAAAATTGAGCTCCCAGTTTGACACATTGCGGGATAATATGTGTCGGGTGTCTTGTGCCCTTGTCTGGCAGCAGTGGTGGGGTTTGTCATGGGCCACGGGATTGAAGCAGCCTGGTTTTCCAGGCATGTACCTTCTCACTGAGGACCAAAACGACTCAAGCAGTCTGACATCAGAACAGTTCAAGTAGTGCGGGCTGGCCGGTGAAAGTCAGGGCACCGTTTGACCTTTGATAAACCAGTTTGGCACAATCACAAGGGAACCTGCCCTTGGTCATGTTGTAGTGAAAGGCATAAATTTCAAGCATGAGTAGCCCATCTTTTGCGTCTTTGATGAGTCAATGTGCTATTAAATTGGTCTTCAATTTCCCTGTCCCCTAAAGGTTTTCCACATACTTGAGCACAGCCTCAAGCTGTATGTGAGGGGAGAGACGCATTGGATTGCGAGCATGAGCAGTCCATCTTCTGCGTATTTGATGCGTCAATGTGTTCATAAATTGGTCTTCAATTTTCCTCTTTAGGAGTCCCCTAAAGGTTTGCCACATACTGAGCACGGCCTTAAGTTGCGTGTGAGGGGAGAGAAGACGCACTGAGATGCGAGCATGGGTGGTCCATTTTTTGCATTTATGATGCATCAATGTTCTCTTAGATCCGTCTTTGCTTTCTCTCTTTGGAAAAGAAAACGCACAGAATGCAGGACATTCACAACAAAGTAGAGTTGAGCATGTGGCCCGACCCGACCCGATTTGGCCGGGCCATTCGGGCCCTCGGGTCGGGTCGGGTCGGGCCGGGTTCGGGCCAGATTCCTGAAACAGCTGGCCCGACCCGGGCCTAAGAACTCGGGTCAGAGGTTACCCGAGTTCGGGTCGGGTCGGGTCAGGAAACCCGATTTCGCCCGTGCTCTGTGCAGATCGGCGCTTTCGTCCGCCGATATGCGCAGATCGGCGATTTCTCCCGCCGATCTGCGCGGATCGGCGATTTCTCCCGCCGATGTGCGCGGATCGGCGATTTCTCCCGCCGATCTGCGCGGATCGGCGGCGGTTTCTCCCGCCGATCTGCGCGGATCGGCGATTTCTCCCGCCGATCTGCGCAGATCGGGGCTTTCGTCCGCCGATCTGCGCAGATCGATGAGTTGGTTGGCGTAACTCTGTCAATTTCGCTGGTCGATCTGGTGGAGATTGGGAGTTTCGCCGTGACACTCGTTTCCGACGAATGTGTTGGAACAAATATTTCAACCAATTCGCCATTGCTCACCACTCCTTACCGCATTAAATCTACCATTCCCAACCCTCCCCCTCCCACCCTCCCCCTCCCACTCTTTACAAATCTCTCGACATCAAGCCTCTCCACAAAGTCGTCTTCTAACTTGTCGCATCATTCTTTGGCTGCAAACTAAGTAGTTATGGTTCCTAGGTTCCTTTGGTCGCTGGAGGAAGGATATTAGGTTTGCGGTAATGAATTGATGTCGAGGGGAAAAAAATACCCTTGAAATAGAATGTGCTAGGGTTTCGGGTCCCCCCTGTGTCGAAATAGGGTCGGGTCTGACCCTACCCGATTTCCCAAATCTTGACCCGATTTCAGGTCGGGTCAAAGCTGACCCGAAACCCGACCCGACTCGGCCTGAGTCTCATGCTTGGGTCGGGTTTTGGCCCGGGTCGGGTCGGGTCGGCCCGCACGGGGCAGGCAATTGAAACCGCTGACCCGACCGAGCGGGGCAAATGCTCATCTCTACAACAAAGGCAGCATCCTAGACCGCCATGGGTAGCTAACTGGGATCAGTATGGAAGAAGCCTCACCATCTACTTGGTATTGGGGTCTGCCGCCTACCTCTGCACATTAGCCTCATGATAGGGTCTTGCAATTTCCAAGCGACAAGACACATGGGAAAGGGATGTTCTGGCTGTTCCTCATGTTCAAATGGAAGTGAAATTCTACGAAATGAAGCTCGTAACGAAGGTCAAAGACCCAAAGGCCAACGATATTAGGGCTCCCATCAGTTGATCATACCCAAATAAAGTCATCAGACCAGCCATTCTCAAGCTGCCATCATCGTTGGTCAAAATCTGAGCCATCCCTGAACTCTCCTTTTCGCTACAGAAAAAAAAAAACAGAATGTCTTGTCAACGCTGCTGGCCTACCAGACTTTCCTTCACAAAATCAATTTGTTCAAATGCAAACAGTGAAGACATTATGCGATGGAGTATGCTGTTTTAAGCAATGTGCATGCACAGCTGTTTCAGGTCATAGTTGTATCCTGCTGTGCCTTTCCACCAACACAAACATAGTGTACTCTACATCCTTTTTTCCTGCTTCTAAATGTGTACACATTTGCATGCTTGCCATGAGGCACAAGTTGTCTTCATTTATTTCCACCCACAATATACTTTCCTTGCTTAACCCATCAGAGATCTTAGCATCAACGCTCTGAGAGGGTCTATTCCATCCACCATCGGCAAAATGAGCAGCCTCGACGGATTGTGAGTATCGGCAAGGAATCCAGAAAGAGAGCCCTAACTGACCTTGCACAGATTCGTACATACAGGGCCTCTGATGGTGTGATTTGAGCAACTTGTTTTGAGAACAAGCATACAAGCTATGCATGAGGAGGAGGGAGTCTGCACCAGCGCGAATGTGAATTGAGATCCACTGGGGATGGAAGGTGCCCTTGAACTGGTGGAGAGAGAATGCAGTCATTCCTCCTGTGTGACCACAGCGACCTGTCACTGTTGTGAGCTGGTCCATCTCGCCACTCACAGTGGTGAGGATTTGCTGCGAATCTCTCCACATTAGCCTCACTATATGGTCCCGAAATGTCCAGGCGGTAAGATACATGGGCAAGGTTATGAGGCCCCCTAACTGAGCCTCCAGAGTTCATTTTTTATGGACATTGACAATAATATAAAGGGTTGATCAATCTGTCCATAGAACATCTAGTGTCAAAATGCTAACGTTTGATGGTGCACACATCATCTGACATTTCCATTGCAGTGTTGTAAGTGTAAACAATCTCACTGGCCAACTCCCTCCAACAATGGGCAATCTTACTCGTCTTTCAACCTTGTAAGGCATGCAGATTAAATTGTTGCAATGTCCATCATTGCTCGTTAAAGCGTATCACGAGGAGGAGCTATACAAAGGAGCCAATGTGTTTCGCTCGTATACCTGAGCTAGTACTGTTACAGCCATAAGTAGGAGGTATACAAGGTACCAAAGGTCGTGATGACTATCCCGGCTCAATCCGTTTCGGCACAACAACTGATGTTGGGTCGAGACCACGTTAAGCCATTCCCTATTGCCTAACATGCATGGAAACCAATATATGGTTTACTGGGTTTTTCTACGAATAAAACATCTTGGCAGAGTATAGCATTGTAATGTCTCACCAAACCTTCCCTTTAGAAATCTCAAAGAGTTTCGTTCAGAGCTGAAACCGGTTTCTGGTTCTTAGTTTGAGAACACCCCATGTGCACATGCAGGGACACATATTTTACGGCAATCGCATGCCCTCCTGAATACAGCAGCTGTGTGGTCAAACAGACCATTTCAAGTGCTTTCTGCCAGCAGTGTAGCTCTTTCTGCACCACCTGTGACAAGCCACAACCAGGTGAAATGCAATCACTTTATGCGGGTCGCTGCAAGTAATATTGCCTTTCTGACAACGCTCTCATTTGTGCTGAGTGCATGAACACTACACTGCCATCTACAGAACAAACTTCTGCGGTGTCACGCATCCACAACTTATACCGAAGAATACCAAAGAATACCTCGTGGCTTTTGCTGATTTGTTTTTTTTTTTCAACCTTTCAGAGTGTTCGTTCGCTTTCTCTCCCACATCCCTTTTCATCGATCCCACATTATTCCCACGTGTGATAGCCTTTTCCATTCACTATATCCATCTTCCTACTCCTTAAATGTACCTCCCATCACCAGTGCTAACACCCTCCCCATCGCCAGTGCCAACACCCTCCCCATCGCCAGTGCCCACAGCCTCCCCACCTCCTCCCCTCACCAACTCCTAGTAAGCCTGCAGCATCTGCTACCCAGTCTGAAGTAGGGATGAGCAAGGTGGCGAACACCTGTTCGGTTCGCCTCGAACACGTTCGAGGCGAACCGAACAGGTTTTGTTTTTTAGCTCAAATCGTTCGCCGAACAGTGTTCGATGTTCGCCCGAACACGTTCGTGTTCGGGCCGCTGCTGAAATTTGCCCGCGACGAACACGAACAGTGTTCGAGGTTCGCCCGAACACGCCTCCACAGGCGAACAGCGAACACCTGTTTTTTCCTAAACTGTTCGCCGAACCGAACAGTGTTCGGTTCGGCAAAAGAGGGTGTTCGACAAGGGCGAAGACGAACATGTTCGTGTTCGCCCTTTGCTCATCCCTAGTCTGAAGGCGGTTTATCCAACGGAGCCATTGCTGGCATTACTGTTGCTGGTGCTGTGGCTTTCCTAGTGCTGCTGCTGCTTATTTGGCTGATGTGCAAACGATACCACACCAGAGGGGCAACAGGAGGCACAGATGTGGACGGCAAAGATTTAAATGAAGAAAGTGCACTCCAAGGTAGGACCTTCAGTCTACGCTGCTCGAAATACAGCCTCCTCCCAGACCCTAAGTTCGCATCCACATTCAATTCCTCATCTTTTTCTTGTCTCCTTCACCACCTCTGACAGACTTGGAACCTGATCATTCCAACGCAGCATCCAAGGCAGAGAATAGGGACCCAGAAGGAGAAGCTGCTGCTGCAGCAGCTGCGGCTGTGGCTGCAGGAGCAGCGGAATGGGTGATGGAGAGAGACGTGGTGGTGGAGATGGAGGCAGTGCAGCCACATGTGTGCCAGAAGTTCACTCTGGAAGAACTCGCAAGCGCAACGGGAGATTGGGCAGAGGGGAACAGGATTGGTAGCGGCAGCTTTGGAGATGTGTACAAGGGCGTGTCAGTGCATGAACCCAATGAAATGTGGGCTGTGAAGCGATCCAGGGTCCTATCCAGTGACTTCCTTACTGAGGTACAAGATGGTGCTGATGAGTCTTCTGGCCTCATACCCTGAACACGTTGCAATGCTGTTATTGGACATTCTTTGAATGCCAACAAACACACAAACAGGGACACACACACATTCATCCAAACTCAAATGCACATTCAGGCGCGTTTACGCGCCCGCACACACACACACACACATGCACACATGTGCGCACACCCAGCAAGATGCACACATACACATACTCACACACACTTTGTCAAACACAGACACACACTTTCCCTCTTGCCCTCTTCCTTTTCGACTTTCCCCAATATCGCATGTGATGTATTTGGCACTTGGATTTTGCTGTTGAGTTTATTCAGACATCATTACAGTACCATTCTTGTACATGCATGCATACACCATTATAAACACATTCACTTCACTCTCTTCCTCTTGCCTACTCCCTTTTTGTTTTTCCTCTCCCATCTTGCAGGTGAAGGAGATGGCCAGTAAGCACCACCCCAACCTGGTGCGGCTGTTGGGCTTCTGTGTGCACTATGATTCCAGCACGGGCCAGATTGAGCAAGTGCTCGTGTATGAGTTCATGGCCAACCGGGACTTGGAGAGCTGGATTGGACCAGGTAATAAAACTTCACTTGTCTATGATGGATGTCCTTATTATACTCTTTGATAGCCATTATCTTGGAGTAGTTTCTGAGTGTGACGTGAGTGGCCCATGTGCCCTGCACTTGCCGTGCCGCATACCTTGTATCATGCCTTCCAAACCCTTTCTTCAGATCACAATGTCCATTCCTTAGGGACAAGCAATTCAATAACATTCCCATTGGAACCAATTCTTCCATTACCCCTTCCTAGGAGCTCCAAGTCATCTCTCTCTGTTGCAACGACTGGATGTTCTGATTGGAGTGGCCAAGGGGTTGCAATATCTTCATGACTTCGGCATTGTGCATCGCGACATCAAGCCAGCCAACATTCTGCTTGATGCAAAAATGCATGTACGTCTAACTATGTTTTCTCCTTGCATTTTGTTTGACAAGTCACCAACCTAACATTTTGTTTTTTCTTTTTACTAGCATGTCTTGACATATTGAAAGCACTTGGTGCAATTGACTATCTTAATTTTGCGTACAAACTGTTGTTCAGGCCAAGATTGCAGACTTTGGTTTGGTAAAGCTCACTGGAGGCACCGCTATGGGCACGTCTGTGGCTGCCACTCGAGTAATGGGGACTCCGGGCTATGTGGACCCTGCCTATTACAAGTCCCACAAGGCCACTTCAGCAGCAGATGTGTACAGGTGAGCGGGTGAAGATATTTCTTTCGAGTTGAGTAAGAAACCAACTGTGGCTACCACTTGAGTGATTGGAACACTCCAGCAGCAAGTGTGAGCATAGAAATGTATTTTTCTTCCATTTGTGATGTGGGTAGGGCATAGAAATGCTCCTCTGAAATGTCTCACATTAATCTCCATTCTCCTGTCCCTCTTTCTGATTGGTCTTAACAGCTTTGGTGTGGTGATGCTGGTGGTCATCTCGGCACGCAAGGCCGTGCATATGAGCGAGACCAGCCAGATCAGTCTGAAGCAATGGGTGAGCACAGATGCTTGCTACAGACTTACTGTCTGAATATTTTATGCAAAAACTGCACAACTACTGCTCAATACTCCACTCATAAGTATGTAGTTCACTGAACAATCACGCATATGTCCACATGGCTCAACCCAACAGATCACACCATTCGTGGAGTCAGATACTGTTACAGTCTTCAATGACCCCTACTTGGACGCACCAGATGACTTGGTGCTGCGCTGGGCTCGCCTTGCCCTCCTCCTGCACCACCATGCCTGCGGCCTCCCGCCCCTCCATGAATCAAGTGCTGGGGGAGCTGGTGAAGTTGAAGCAGGAAGCTTCTGGAGCACATGAGAGCCATGTGGGCGAGGCCAAATCTCGCTTGGACACGGAGCTTGGGAGTTCCATTGGCTCCTCCAGCTTCACTGCTGAAATGGCCCGTGCGGAGCGAGGGGACATGCCAAGTGGCTTTTCCACATAATCAAGTTTGTCTTCACGTGCACCTTGCTAGATTACCCAGAGCTTCTGGTTTGTGCCATACCAAAACATATGGTATATGGGGAAATATGCCTGTTGAATAGATAAATGGAATGGATGCTGGTAGAATCTTTGGTGATCAGGTAAATGGAACGAGAAAATTGGCCTTCGTACATAAAAAGTGGGAGCTACAGCTTTGGCTTGTGCATGGGCACATATTTTGTGCTTATGACATATTTTGAATGTTGCATACATAATATTGCCACTAGAATAGCTCTATTCATAACAAATATGGGTTTCTCAAATGGAAATCATAAGCCATTTTGTGGCAGCAACAAGCGTTCTACTCGTAATGAAGTACACTACATGATATAGCAACTCTTTCTCCATCCCACATATCTAACATGCAAACATCACATCCTCCCTCCAGGCAGTATCCACCTCTTTTCAGTGGGTTGTCATCTGTAACACGTGGGCAAGAAAGGGTTTGATTTGATCCCTTCATGGCGCTATCATTTGCAATGATATGTCAGATGCTGTAGGGCAAGAGCCGTATGGGAGGGATGAATCGGGGTTGGGAAGTGTGATATGACTTGTTAAGACGATGATGAGCAGTGCGCTGAGCAGATACTTCATGAACCCCATGGCTGACTCATCCACCCATGGCTGACTGACCAACCCATGGCAAACTGACTGACCCATGGCTAACTGACTGACCCATGGCTGACTGACTGACCCATGGCTGATTGACTGACCCATCGCTAACTGACTCACCCGGCTGACTGACTGAACCGTGACTGACTGACTGACCCATGGTTGACTCACTGACCCATGGCTGACTGACCGACCTGTGGCTGACTGACTGCCCCTGGCTGATTGACTGACCCATGGCTGATTGACTGACCCAAGGCTAATTGACTGACCCAAGGCTGATTGACTGACCCAAGGCTGATTGACTGACCCATGCTGATTGCTGACCCATGGCTGATTGACTGACCCATGGCTGATTGACTGACCCATGGCTGATTGACTGACCCATGGCTGATTGACTGACCCATGGCTGATTGACTGACCCAAGGCTGATTGACTGACCCAAGGCTGATTGACCCATGGCTGACCGACCGACCCATGGGATGACTGACCACAACCTGATGACTGCAACCGCCTTGTTGACAGGATCCTGTCCAAAACAAAACGCCGGACTTATCCACTCTGAGACGAAGCCCGATGCTGGAAGGAGTGGCTGCGCTTAAACCCCACTTGACGAGAAGAGCCATCAAGCTGAACCGCCTGCTCGGCCTTGCATACTGAAAGACGCCTTGAAGGAGGGCTTAAAACACGTCCGTGAGCTGCCCTTGTTGAAGCCATGCCTGTGCTCTCACCCCTTCTTGCCGTGAGCTGCCCTTGTTGAAGCCATGCCTGTGCTCTCACCCCTTCTTGCCGTGAGCTGCCCTTGTTGAAGCCATGCCTGTGCTCTCACCCCTTCTTGCCGTGAGCTGCCCTTGTTGAAGCCATGCCTGTGCTCTCACCCCTTCTTGCCGTGAGCTGCCCTTGTTGAAGCCATGCCTGTGCTCTCACCCCTTCTTGCCGTGAGCTGCCCTTGTTGAAGCCATGCCTGTGCTCTCACCCCTTCTTGCCGTGAGCTGCCCTTGTTGAAGCCATGCCTGTGCTCTCACCCCCTTCTTGCCGTGAGCTGCCCTTGTTGAAGCCATGCCTGTGCTCTCACCCCTTCTTGCCGTGAGCTGCCCTTGTTGAAGCCATGCCTGTGCTCTCACCCCTTCTTGCCGTGAGCTGCCCTTGTTGAAGCCATGCCTGTGCTCTCACCCCTTCTTGCCGTGAGCTGCCCTTGTTGAAGCCATGCCTGTGCTCTCACCCCTCTTGCCGTGAGCTGCCCTTGTTGAAGCCATGCCTGTGCTCTCACCCCTTCTTGCCGTGAGCTGCCCTTGTTGAAGCCATGCCTGTGCTCTCACCCCTTCTTGCCGTGAGCTGCCCTTGTTGAAGCCATGTGCCTCACCCTGCGGAGCTGCCCTTGTTGAAGCCATGCCTGTGCTCTCACCCCTTCTTGCCGTGAGCTGCCCTTGTTGAAGCCATGCCTGTGCCCTCACCCCTTCTTGCCGTGAGCTGCCCTTGTTGAAGCCATGCCTGTGCTCTCACCCCTTCTTGCCGTGAGCTGCCCTTGTTGAAGCCATGCCTGTGCTCTCACCCCTTCTTGCCATGAGCTGCCCTTGTTGAAGCCATGCCTGTGCTCTCACCCCTTCTTGCCGTGAGCTGCCCTTGTTGAAGCCATGCCTGTGCTCTCACCCCACCTTGCTGAAACCGTACCTACCCACCCATCTCACTATATGACTCTCCCAGCCTGACCACAACCATTCGTCTGTGGCTGACTGCTGCAAGCTGGCTGGCTGGCAGGGCGGGCTGGCTGACCAGAACCTTTTTTCTGCGGCTGGCTGCTGCAAGGGGGCTGTTTCATCAACTTGGCTTGTCAAGTACGTTTTCAGCGCAGCTGGCTTGTGAATTCGACCATCAATGCAGCAGCCTGGCCTTTTGTTTTTTATAAGGATCATGGCGGACATTCGGTCAGTTAGTCAGCCATGGGTCAGTCAATCAGCAATGAGTCAGTCAATCAGCCATAAGTCAGTCAGTCAGTCAGTCAGCCATTGATAAGTCATGGGTCAGTCAGGAGTCAGCCATAATCAGGTGGCCATGGGTCAGTCAGTCAGACATGCGTCAGTCAATCATACATGGGTCAGTCAGTCAGCCATGAGTCAGTCAGTCAGCCATAGGTCAATCAGTCAGGCATCGATCATTCAATCAGCCATGGGTCAGTCAGTCAGCCATGGGTCAGGCAGTCATGGGTCAATCCGTGAGGCATCGGTCGGTTTGTCATGTGTCAGTCAATCAGCAGCCATGGTTCAGTCAGTCAGCCATGGGTCAAACAGTCAGCCATAGATCAGTCAGTCATAAGTCAGTCAATCAGCCATGGTTCATTCAGTCAACCACTGGTTAGTCAGTCAGCGTCAGCCATGGGTCAGTCAGTCAGCCATGGTTCAGTCAGTCAGCTATGGGTCAGTCAGTCAGCGTCAGCCATAGGTCAGTCAGTCAGCATTCGGTCAGTCAGTCAGCCAGAAAATCAGCCAGTCATGGGTCAGTAAGTCAGCCATCGGTTAGTCAATCAGCCATGGGTCAGTCAGTCAGCCATTGGTAAGTCATGGGTCAGTCAGTCAGCCATAGATCCGTCAGTCATGGATCAGTCAGTCAGCCATGGGTCAGTCATTCAGCCACAGGTCAGTCAGTTAGTCATAAGTCAGTCAGTCAACCATGGGTCAGTCAGTCGTCAGCCATCGGTCAGTCAGTCATGGATCAGTCAGTCAGCCATGGGTCAGCCAGTCAGCCATTGGTAAGTCTGTCATGGGTCAGTCAGTCAGCCACGGGTCAGTCAGTCAGCCATTGGTAAGTCTGTCATGGGTCAGTCAGTCAGCCATGGGTCAGTCAGTCAGCCATCGGTCTCAGAGTTTGTGGCGGTGTCGCGGAGAGAGGCGCGGGGGCTGCTGCAGGCGCTCACGCAGCAGCTGGTGGCTCGCATGGAGGCTGTCGCTCGTGGGGCTCCACCTGGCGCTCCTCTATTACTGAATGGGGCAGCGGCGCTGCCTAGAGCAACAGCAGTACCTCGAGCAGTGACCACAGCAGCAGAAGCTGGGGCAGCGGCAGAAGGGGCGGCAGTAGGAGCTGGGGTAGCTACAGCTGGAGCAGGTTCGTTAGAGGACGCGGGACTAGCGGGAAGGGAATCACAGCAGCTGGTAGAGCCTGAGATTGAAGGAGGCTCTGGGAAAGACGAGCAGCTGTGTGGCACACCCTTAAAGGGGAGAACACCCGCGACGCCTGTAGAAGTGTTCTGTCCTCCACTGGAGTCCCTCACCCTCGATAGCATTCAGTTCGCCTCCACTTGCGACCTTACGCTCCCCACCAACAGCAGTACCAGTGTATTCTGTACCCAAAGCGGGTGCAGGTTTGGCATGGTTTGGCACAACACTGATCGGTGGGGCAGCAGGGGTGGACGAGGAAGCAGGGGTGGAAGGGGCAGCAGGGGTGGTAGGGGCAGCAGAGGTGGAAGGGGCAGCAGGGGAGACAGGGCAGTAGCACGGCTCCCCCAGCAGCATCTCTCGCAGACATGCCACCAAATTCACTCCCCCGGGCCACGCTTTCAAATAAGCCGCCTCCTCCCCCTCCTTGCCCGTCCCATCATCTTCTATTCTCCCTTGGTTTCTCCTGTTTCTCCCAGAGCTGTCGCTGCGGCTGCTGCTCCCACTGGCACCATCGGAAGGCCCACAATCATCCTGCATGTCTTCACAGAACCTGGGTATGGCAGCCCTTCTCCACAACTCATGCCCCTTAGCACTCGCAAACACCTCTCCCTCCTTTCCATCCCAACTGGCTCGCCCCTTGCTGCCCTTGCACCTGTCTCTCATACCTCAGCCTCCAGCTTCATGCCGCCCTGCCATGCAAGCTCCACCGCTAGGCACCACATTTGCACCTCTTCCCACACCCTCCCATCATCTTCCTTTCCGTCTCGCAGCCTGTGTAGGAACTTCAGGTCCGTGATTCCGAGGACGGGGGCAGCCCAGTTTAGAGCCACAGTCAGCAGGAAGAGAACAGGAAGCTGTTCCATTCGAGCCTGCACCGCAGGCGATCTTAGATAGCCAGGCGCATTGGCAGCGAGAGGCACACCCATACAAGCAGCGAGTCATTCGAATTCGGGAGGGAGGGGAGAGAAGATGGATACAAAGCGGTTGAAAAGGGTGGTGACAGGTCGGTAGGCATAGTTAGTGATGAGCATGAGGAAGGGGATGGGACGGCTGTAGACCCCAAGGCACTCATTGCACTGCGCACAGGCAGGTGGCCTGACCAGAAACCCGGCAAAATCCACCACAAATTCGGCATCGGCAGTGCAGCGAACGATGGGGAATTTCCTCTGCACTAGCGGCAGCAGCGATGTGAGCAGCTTGC